AGACCATGTTTACGACGTTCAAGTACCTATCTCGAGGAAGCGTACTTAAGATAGGGACTTCTGGAGTTATGTTCGACCATATAGGAGCTATGCTCGGGAGATAATGTTACCGTTCCTGGACCTGACCTGCTTATCTCTGCTCCTGACCACCCACGTACCCGGACGTTCAAGTCCCTATCTCGCAGACATGTCCGTTAGAGAGTGTGCCGCTCAGATGATTCAGATGATGCAGATGATGCAAAGCATTTCTTGCATCCCTAAAGCCTTCAAGATACCCAACATTAGCACGAAAGCACTTTAAGCCGGTTCCAAAAACGTGAAAAAACACAGGATTCTAGAGCAAAAATGGCCCCCCCCCCCCTAGCTAAAGCTATAGTATACTGGCGATACTAACGGAATCACGCGTGCCCTATAAAACGCCTCAGCACCTTCGGTGCGGGCGGATTTCAGTGGGGTGACTCGTTTGTGGTTTTCATTTGAGTGATTTGGAGATGGGATGAACAAGAAAGAAAAACACGTGTAAAACGTCCATCCGGCAGAGATCGAAAGATTACATCGTGTCAGCAGGTGTCAGACTTGGTATTTTCGGAGCAGGTGGCATTCCTCACCCATGGGGGTGGTTTCAGGGGTAGTTTCAGGGGTCGATGCAATAGGTATAAATATTTCATATATATAAATATGTATATATATATATACTAAATTATATATATACAGAGTGTTTGGGTCATGTTGAGGTGCTTGTTTCAGGCAATCTTCGATACCCTAAATCAGAGCTTTGTGGTGGGGCGCAGCGATCGGGCTGGCGACACGCAGATGGATGACGTCGGTACATTTGGGGCGCCGAGCTCCACGGAACGTTTGTTTCAGGTCAATCCGTGTGGTCCCAAGTGCTCAATCCAGTCAAATCTGACGGTCTCATGTTTGTGTTCCTGGGAACCGCTCCCGACAAAAAGTCCGAGTGGTCCCTCAAAACGGGATTGAACACCGACTCTTAGACCCCTCCAGAGAATTCGTTTGGCTTCACAGCGGTTTGGTCATTGAATCCCCTTCTCTCGCTACGACATGTTAGTGAAGCTAAGCTACTGGTTCAAGTGCATCGCTACTAGTAACAAGGTGCTTTTACTAGTAACAAGATACTTTATAGTGGTAAGTGTAATAGATTCGCCTGTGCTGTGGCTGTCAAGGATCAGCCGGCAACAACGGCTCGAGATCAAGAGGAGTGCATCCTTTGTCTTTGCGACTTTGCTGACACCGCACACATGCCCGTGGCTCAACAGCAGGAAGTGTGCATGTTCCGTTTGAAGTTCAAGTGAAAGTGTCAAACTCTGACAACAAGGCAAGGCAGGCATATGGCTATAAGTTCTCTTCAATTGCTCAGTTCTCTTCGACCAGCTTCGCATCGACCGTCTCGAACCAGCGCTGACCGTCCGGTTTTTCTCCCCGGTCAAGCGCCAGCTGGACACTCATTTTTTTCGCGTTTCTTCTCGTTGTTTCTGGTGAAGGAACAACGTCAGACACGGATGAACACGGGTCGAACACGGAATCTGGATGTGATTGTTCTCGTCCTGGTTGATGGGAACCGTGCACCATCCATGGCAGGACACGACCGCCGTTTGGGACCCAGACACGATCTGCCATGAAATAGTGGTTGAACATTGGGTCAATCAATAGATGTCAATCGTAGTTTTTTCCTCTTTCCAGTCCCAGACAGGTCGTGGGCTAGGGAGGCGGGTCACAGGTCTTCCCAGCTCCACTTGTTTCATCGCAGCCGTCCCATCCGGACGCGTTTGCCGTACAGGGTGCGAGGTGCGAGGTGCGGCCAGGTGATAGGGTGCAATTGGAAGATTTTGAGTTCACAACAAGGGTTTTGACCCTCAACTAGGGAATTGGAATGAATCTATATATTCTTAATACTTAATATTGAATGACTTTGGGAATTGTTGTGTATCACTAGGTCGTCCTCATTGCTTGTCATTTTGAACTAACAACCGGTCGTCCATTTTTCACCCCATGTCATCCATTGTCACATCCAGACCAAACAAGATCATGCCGAAAAACATCAAACAAACTGATGAAGTCCTCGGCCGCAGATGTGTTTTTTGCCTCTAAAGTCCGAGGTGGTGGAGCTTCCTGAGTGCAAACACGTCTTCCATCGTGCATGTGCCACTTCTTCCGTGGGTGGGTGAGTTTGTCGGTCTGTCGCAGGTTTGTTCATCCTTCTCAGTGCTGGACATCTAAATGTATCATATAATGATGTATATCTATAGTGATGTCTATGTCAACCCCCAGACGCGACAAAGGGATCCTATCCGTGCTGGAGAAAGGCTTCGGACCGAATCCAATCGTCGCCCGGCGGATGTCGCGCCGATCGTGTTATGCTGCCAATTTGGCGCCGCAGCATGCCACAGCCCAGCTGGAATTGGTTTGTCACAACACAGCACCTGTAGGTGCCCAACAACTGGTGGATGCCCGCGGTAGGCGCGGCGAAGACCGGGGAAGACGTGTTGAGTGAGTGGTCGACCACCGTCGGCCAGTGAGGCAAAAAAGTTGGAGATGGTAACAGATATGAACAGATTAGGAAAACAGGAAGGACGTGTAAGAGATGCAAAGCGCCTTCCAATGCAGTCGGAGTTGGAAGGTGCCCCTGCTGCCGGAGCGAAGTGGACTGGCAAGAGACTCAGGATCTGCACCCATGCAAGTTGCACCAAGGCTCGTATATATCTCGCTGTTTTCAAACAAAACCCCAGAGGTCTTAGCGCCAGCTTCATCCAGCTTCCGGCTCTCCTCACGCCTTTCAGTCACAAACCAAAGGCACAACCAAAGGACAGTGGTGAATGGGGGCAGCCCAAGTCCTCCAAGTCGTCGTCCTGGTGGCCCAGGACTGTGAGGATAACCAAAACTCGTTCGCATCGAACCAAGGGTTTGCGGGTGTCCTATGACCTGTAACAGTCCGTACACAATTGTCACTGGTTTGCAACTGAACCATCATCAGCCACTGTTACAGGGAATTGATATACCCAATCAATGGTTCACATCCATATCCCTGATTCGTTGGAAAGGGCAGAGCCCCACATCTGACGCCCTGGCTGGCCACCCTAGGTGGTTGGGTTTGCATCAACGCACAGATCCATGCCTGGTCAAGACCCTGCACCGTCAAATCCGTCACCGTCAATAATCGGAAGAATGCAAGGTCCAATTCCGTGCAGTTTTAAAATCCTAGGACACCCGTTTCAGCTACCACGGTGTCCATAGCTCCGAACACCACCACTTTGGGTGTCTGGAGTCTAGAACGAACTGCAAGGGTTTGTGGACTAGTTTCATCTTATCTGCTTGAGAGGACTGACCAACTGTATCATCTCACCGAGGTCCTTCTTGGGCTAACTGCGCAGGCTGAGACACGCTGCGCGTCCGCTGTGCCTGGCCGTTTAAGCCGCCAGAGACAAAGCATCTTTGGCGGAAAGAAATGGTCACGTGGCAAAGTAAAAAACGAAGGTGGAACGCGTTTTGCATTCGGCCCCTCGGCCTGTGTTTACATAATTATACAAAAGAACACTTGCAGACACATGCAAACACCATAGACCATTTGCCAAACTCTGCTGTGACACCGTTTGTGTTCTTCGCCCTCTACTGAACGAGGATACACTTGCGTGCGTGAGCACGTCGCAAGGCGAGGTCGTGGTCAATCGTGAGGCGTTTTGTTCCATCATGGAACCTCTCAATGCATCGTCCCACTCGTTGATCCTTGTGGACCTCTCAATCAGAGACCTACTCGGACCTGTTTTTTAAGATGTTTAAAAATAGTTGTGCCCCAAACAAGCAAAAAAAGAGAGAAAACTCCCAGTGAAAACAATCAGCAAAACCAATCACAACACTTGGAAGCAATTCATTCAAAACTGTGTATACTATAGTCTTTAAAAGTAAGAGTGATTCATTGACAAGACATGATCTTCAGATCCCCTTAGGATTTGGAATTTGGAGATGTATCTTTTTGCTAAGCCATGCCAGTGTCCTGAAGCCCACCAGCAATCGGTTTGCGCGCCAAAGGCACCAACCAGGCAGAACTGCGCCACCGGCGCGCAGGGTGTACAGAGCTCTGAAAAGCGGCGCTGAACAGCGGCACTCGCCTGAAGCTTTTAGAACTGATACCAACGACACTACTAGTGATGCACTTGTTACATCTTGTTACTAGTAGCGATGGCCTCCAACCTAGTAGCTTCTTGCTAGTAGTAGTAATGCCAGGTGCTACTAGTAGCTTCTTGTCAGTAGTTTCTCTCAGAATCAATGCCTACTTGGTAAATCTTCTGAAGCTACAGACAGAATAGAAAGAATCAGCACAAATAAACAACACATAACAACACAGTTTGGGTTCGATTTGTTTGGTTTGCATCTGCAACTCGACACACCACAGTTGGACTTGAAGTTTGTGTTTTTTCTCCGCCACTCGCTGCGCCGGCTCCAGAAGCCAGAGCAGCTGGAGCTAGGGTTGTACAGAACAAGATCTCGGGAAAAGACACCGTGGGCACTGGCAGTGGTTTACATGTTTTTTTTAGCATCATCGAATCTAATTTGTGTTGACACATTTTTCTTTTCTCTTTTGTAAGGCCACATCTTTCAGGGCCGGCCCTGCGCTTCCATTCTTGGAGCAGATAGTAACAGAGCAACGAAGTGGAACAGAATGAGGTTCATAACAGAAACGTAGAACCCTCGGGCACAAGAAGTCAGCCAGTTGCACAGATAGAAGACCAGAGGTCATTGGACGGTCAAATATGCCATGCCTTGGACCATCCAAGGTCCGACCATGCGTTCAACTCACCAACCGCTTCCCATGCGGAGCTTCTTTCGCCAAACCAAACTTGTGCTTCAAACATCTTCAAACAGAACAACAAGGCAACTGAGCTGGCGCTGGTCGCTGAAACGCTCATGAAAAGGGCATCCAAAGGCTGTTGAAGAGGTTCATCTTGCAGTGATCGGGTTCATACTGACATACTGTGATGAGGATTCGACCAGTGGTGCTTGGCACCACCACCAGGTGGCTCGTTCTGGTGGCTCAACCTGCTCTCCCATCTCCAAATCCAGTGGTCACACGGGTTCACCATGGATTAAAACCAACCTGCGTGTTCCTGGGTCTTCACCCCTGCGTGTTGCGGATCGGTTTGCGGATCGGTGTCATTTCCTACATATTGGGTGCATCCCCGGGCCCTGGGGGGAAGTGGAACTGTGACTCTTTCCTGGCTTTTTTGTTCTAGACATGAATATACAATAGATGTATTTATAGTTCTTCAGTTCTTTTCTTGACACACTGGAACTGTTTCCTTCTAAAAAACATGTCTATCAGTGCTTTGGATCGCAAGAAAGCACCATCACGAGCGACGTACGCTGCACCGGTCCGCTTTCTCGGGTCCGCTCCAGGCACCCGGCGAGCATCCGCCTCCACCGGCGTTTGCAGCGGCTCGAGCAAGAGATGCAGGCGCAGAGTTCGGCTCGCAAGGGGCTCTGGCAGCTCTGGCAGCTCTATGAAGAGATCAGACAACGCGGTGATTTTCCTTGGCAGGTTACATCTCAGATAACCTTGTGTAGTGCAAATCTGTTGGGTACCTTACCTACCTTGCCTCAGCTCCGCTTTGGCAGTTGACCTCATGCCGAAAGGAGAGAGAAGGTTTTGCACAGACCACGAGGAGGACCGCTCTTCGGAATGCTGAGACCAATCTGGGTCAAGTCACAGACCACATTTCCTTCCAAATACACCCTGGAAGATTAACATAGAACCTGAAAACCACTGGGTTGTAGAGGAAAGTAGCCTTCCAAAGGTCCATTTTCAGGTTCCATGTTAATCTTCCCGGGTGTAATTCTTTTCAGCTGAGCGTTGCTAAAGCCATCGACGTGAGCACGGATGAATCCTTCTACGGCTGCGCAGAGTAGCAGACATCCGAAGAGCGGTGGCAGAGCAGACTGCTGTGGAAGAAGAGTGGTTGGGTTGTAACTAGGGATAAATAATGATAAACATCCATCCCGCCAACATCAATAAACAATGACTATCATGACTCACCCTTGGCATTCCAACATATTCCAACCACATTTTGTTTCATGGTTTTTGCATGTTTTTGGCGAACAACCGGTGTTTTAGCAAGGAGTGCTAGGCTGCTAGGCTACAGTGCTACAGACAGATCAATGATGGATTCTTCGTCTCGTCTTGGAAGGTTGGGAGATCAGTCATTCCAAGAAGATGGGAACCTGTCGGGGAAGAAGATAGCAGTTGCCATGTGTTGCCATGTTTTTTTTATTTTTTCTACTGGAGCAGCACACCACCTGTACCAGCCACGTGGACCTGCACCGGAGTCGGCCACCGGAGTCCACCGGTCGAGCAGCACACAGTTGTGGGTCACGTGACCGTCTTCGATGTGGAACCTGGAATTCCTGGGGTACCGGGAGAGTCAAACTAGGATTCCATGGGAATTCGAGTTCGGTACCTATCTATCCCAGACACTCCATGGGACTGGTATACATGCCTACATTGACCCCTGAAACCACCCCAATGTATGTATATATGCCGTACATGGAGTGTTTGGGATAGTCAAAATAGAATTATTCAACCTTTGTTGCTTGTCCCGACCACCGGCTATCTTGCTGCGAGTTGCATGGCGCCACATCAGCACCTTTGAGTGAAACGTCGGGGGACCAGATTGGCCGGGTTGCGGTGCTGGGGTCGGAGTGACGTCCGGTTCCGGAGGTGTACGGTGTCTCCCAGACACTTCATGTATATGGAATATTATATATGATATACCTACTACCTTGACCCCTTGTCAACCACCCCAATATATGCAAACATGGCAGTCCCATGGAGTACGGTTTTGTTGGGGGTGCGTGGCCCAGCATGGATGTTCTTGAACGTGATTGATGAGTGGGGTGAGTGTTTCAGTAGTTGGCCGACCTGCGGTCATTCCCGCTCAAGCTCTTTTTGTAGTTCATGCCATGGGAATCGGCCTGTGGACTGTTCTGATTGGTGGAGCGCTTGTGGGTCAGTTGTCAGTGATTGTCCCCATTGTTGTGCTTGGCGCATGTCCAGGTACTAATCCGGCTGTGATTGACGCCTCAGTGGCCCGAGCTGTGACTGAGACATTGAAATACCGTGCGGATCTTGAACCTACAACTAGCACCCTCACCCCGGCAGTGTTGACGGTAACCGGACGAGGAATCCGATTCACCCAAGTCACCCCAACTGTCACTGGAGAACGCAGCTAGAAAGGTGAGACGACATGCTGACAGGGCGCTTTGCCTTGCTTGAGTATGACGTGCCTGGTCCAATAGTGATGCATGAACGGATGATTTTGGACCACGTAGAGTCGGACGATTATGTGGTGTGTACTCCAGATCGAGATCTCTTTGTGGAACAGCTTACGGTTGAGAATAGTGATCTTCGAAGTTTCCGTTTGAGACCTCAGCCCCACCAATTGCCACCCGGTGTCCCATTAGGTCGAGTGTATGCCTTGCCTGCTTGGAACGCGGGGGAGATTGCAGCCATCAAGGATGAAGCCCGTCGACTCGCTCAGGCGGAGAAGGCCCAGCGAGGGCTAGCTCAGGCGGGAGGTGTGGGCCCACCCCTAGGACCCCCTGTGCCTGTTGCTACTGCTGTGCTGGCAGAAGCAGGGTCAGGTGGGGCAGGGGTTCATCAGCTCACTCCTGGCGTTCCCACTTGGGTCGCAGCAGAAGCAGCCGGAGGTTTCTTCTTTGGGCAGGTGGTTGATGGTGTTCAGAGCCCGGCAGTTTTGGGGAGCAAGTGTGTGCATGTTACAGCTGAGGGACAGTCGGTTTTTTGCATGTGCATCAGTGACGCAACAAAAAAGATGATTTCAATGCCAGGGCTACCATGTGTGACGCACGAATCCTGCGTAGGAAGATGAACGCACTAGGCACCCCTGAGGTGCCGCTGTCGAAGGCGGTTGCAGCCACCAAGCTGTATGAGATGGGCTGGAAGCTGACAGGGCCAAGAACGGCTCAGTGGTGCCTCAACTACCTTGTGGTGGAGGGACTGGGGCTGGAGGCTCATCATGAGCGTTTTCGACAGTTGTGCAGATTGGACTCAGCAGCTTGGGGCGTGCAGGAACATTTTCAGTTGTCAATGATGTTGCGACAGTTGTTACAAGTTGACTGTTACAATGGCTGCAACTCTATGGGGATAGAGCTGATGTTCCGTCGCCTGCAGACCATGGAATATGCTCATTCGGAAAAGGCTCGAGAGAGTGAGCCGAGACTTGCAGGAGGTAAGCTGGCCCTTGAGGAGCAGTATGTCTTCGGATCCGTGGTAAGGCATGCTGGAACCTTGATGATCGCGCCGGCCCTCCAATCGCATGTGAAGGAGGAGACTGAGCGTGAAGTGTTGCTGGCTAAGAACCTTCGCAAGGCCAAAGAAGAGAGAGAGCTGGCAGCCAAGAAAGGTGGCAAGAAGAAAGATGGAAAAGGTGAAGATGGCCCTTGACTTCAGGGCCAGCATTAGAGCTGGGGTGGCCTTCAATGCCGATGCCACAAAACCCTTTGGTTGACTACTCAGCGTGACAAGCTTGGGACCTCCCCATGCTTACAGACTTCGGCATGCGGGAGCTTCAAGGGACTTTCAACTGAAGTACCGTCCAATGTCAGACATCCAACAGAGAGGAAGATGGAAAGCCGCGTCCTCAACTCGCAGGTGCCAGAAGGGGGGCCACTTGCAGCAGATGCTACACCAGCTCCCGGCTGCCGCAATGCTCCGCAACCTGCTTTGAGTCGTGTGCGCCTCAGCCATGGGCAAGTTTACCTTGAACTTTTTCTGGTTGTGGAAACTTGTCCAAGAGCGTGGCGCATTACACCAACTGGAATGTTTTGATGTGGGACATCAACCTTGGCTCAGAGTACGACCTTCAGTCCTCAGCTAAACGCAGGATGATTGGAGAGTGGATCAATTGTGGCTGGGTGATCGGCCTACATCTAGGCACTCCATGTGACAGTTTCACCCGCACGCACGACGTGCCGCCCGGGCCACCACCTTTACGCAGCCACGCCTGCCCTTTGGGATTACCCGGACTCCGACCTGGTGATCAACTGAAGGTTCTTACAGGGAATTTATGGCTTCGTTTTTCTGCATGGATCTTACAGTTAGCCTTGCAATTTGGACTTTTTGCATCTATGGAAAACCCCCAAAGATCTCGTATATGGACTGCGCTCAAAATAGACTTTTAAGGTTGGAGATGTGTTTTGAAGTCTTCGTTTAGAAGCGGGCCCCCAACAGACTATGGTGATACAGCAAGGCAGCGCTAGATTGGCGCTAGGTTGGCGCTAGATTTCTTCATAACAGGATAAGCAAGCAGGAAAGAAACAAGCAGAGAGCATGAAAAAGAAGAAGCAAGACAAGAAAAAGAAAAACAAATAAGAAGAAAAAGAAAAGAAGAAGAACAAGAAGAAGAAAACCTCTGCCGGCCTTGATGCGTAAACCTCGAGTACGGCAATATGTAACTCACTACTGCTACTGGGGTAAACCTTTCAAGAAGGCCACGTTGTTCGTTACCGTTAACTTGGTGCTCCAGCGTCTCGAGTGTGCGCAATGCCATGCTTCCAAAAGAGGACTGTGCCAGTTCACGCAAGCGCCTCACCTTCGGTTGTGTGGACAGGATCAGCATGGGCGGTGGCTGACACGTCTTGCTCAGCCCTACCCACTCAAGATGCGTAATGCCATTGCTAAGTGTCTACATGATGCAGAAGTTCAACGCATAGCAGAACAGTTCCAACACCGTGTGGCTTGAACCGGCTAGCGCCAGATAGCTTTGCTGATATGGGCCAACTACTGTTTTCTGGTATCCTGAGTGCTATGATGAGACGCTGATATGGGAAGTCTGAACGATGCATGTCCAAGACATTGATGAACTCGGATGGATCGTTGCAGTTGTCGAGTCACTTACCTGGCC